CCAACTTTAATTTATACTCTCATCCTTTACCTGCAAGCGTTATACCACCATTGTGGAAGATTTGTATTGATTACCTATTGTTTCTATGCAAGGATTCATGGTTACAGAAATAAATTTAGCTTGAGCAAGTGCACAGCCTGGTTGACGCAGGTGGGGTGAGGAAAGGAGACAAACAGAACTGATACCTATATATCTAGAACAATATAGTTCTCTTTCCTCCACCTTCCCAACACTCTAAAATGTCCAATTTGCAGCAATAAGTCACAAAATTGAACTAGAAAAATAAGACAGTTATTATGATCTATTCACTCAGTAAGTATTTCTTGGGCACCTATTTTTCTGTCTGGTCCCATCCTGGGTGCTAGGAATGAAATTGTGAGTATGATTGACATCGCAGCTCTCTTCAAGAAGTTTCTATTCAAGGAAAGGAGGAATGTCCAGACTGCCTCTTTAATAAGGTAGATATTTTAAAGCGAAAACAATAGCAACATAAGTATTAATTATAAACTCTGAAGAAACAAAATGTGTGACAAATAAGAAGGTAAAAACTGTCACTCAAATATTTTGATACTACAGTATTTATACATAGAACGACCACAATTAAAATAGAGGGGTAGACTCTAATTCCAAAATGCACTTTTTCTAAAATCTTATTCTTGCTGGAATCTCAACAGAAACTATTAAGCAAATTTAAAATTTTCATTTCTTGTTATAATCCAACTAAAATGCCTGCATTTTATTAACCCAAAGGTACTTCCACATTTAGGTACTGCATAATGTTGTCTGGCTCTGATGAAATTGCATGTTTTAAGAAATAAAACTGTTAGGTGGGGATGTAGCTCAGCAGTACAGCGCCTGCCTGGGAAGTGTGAGGCCCTGAGTTTGATTTCTGGGCCAAAAAAAAAAAAAAGAAAAGAAAACTGTTAAAATAAAAATACAGTTTTATAATCAGCCATAATAAGGCCTGGAAATAAAAGTAAAGCTAACTGGTAAACAACTAAATTGTGTTACATATGTATGGCATTATTTCACTATAGACTCTTTTGCTAGTAGAAATATATACATATAAACACCACAAACATGAGCTGTTAAAGCCAAGCAATGTCCTAAAACTACTTGAAGTTCGATGTACATGGTGTGTGATTTTTAGAATGAAGGCTGCTTTAGAACTGTAGTATTCAGTATCAGAATCGTCTTCTTAGCTCAGGACTCAATTTCACTTTATTTGTACCCACCAAGACCAAAGTCATACTATTTACTGCTATAATAAAAGCAACCAGAAGAGCACACAGCCGGGGCTATCGAAAGGGAATGATGCACGATTCATATGTGTGGGTGCTTTTTCCTTCTGGTATGAAATGAGGAGCAGAAGGAAGTACGATCGCAACCTCTAGAGAAGTGGTGGCGAACCCTTTAGAGACAAGAGCCAAACCGCAGCCCTGCAGTTAAACCTGAATACTGAGGCTTTAATGTTGAGAAAAAAAAACTCATACACCAGCAACTTTTATCTTAAAAGAAAAACAAGTAACATGCATGTGTGCCATAGGCTTGTGGCCATTGATCTAGAGAATCTCTGCCACCTGAGACCTTGGCAAAGGCTGAGGAGGAGATTGCAAGACAGGAACTTCATGTTGCAGAACTCACCGGCGCTTTCCTCAGCCCACAGAATACAGGTATAGACATCAAAATGGTGCGGCACAAGGCAGCCAGCAGTGTGGCTTTTTGCAAATCTTCTTGACAGAGCGCCTGCCAACAGCAATGGGACTATAAGACCCATTATTTTATATGTTTCTTATACCTTAATTTTTGAAAGCTATTTAACAAAATAACAGTGACCTTAAGCTGGCATCTTATGCCTTTGTCCTCTGCAAAGGGCCTGCTGCAAAGCCAAGATATGTTAGAACTGCTCAGAGAATTGGAGCTACCAGACCCTGATGCTCAGTAGTGTTCAGCCAAAGATATTTCTCAGATTGACTGATATCAGCCTTGTCTTTGGATCGCATAGGTCCTGGTATTCCTTTAAAATATGAAAAATTTTTGAATTTTTCCCCCAAAATGAGAATGTACCATGTCCGAATCATATTAAAAGTCACACTTTGATTGCTAATGTGAATAGTCACCTGCTTTTCCATGACAGTCACGTTCATCATTGAGATGCATTTCGTAGTGAGAGTTCTATACACAGATGAAGGTCAAAGCTACCTGAGACTTTTCTCATGAGGAAAAATATTATTTTTTAAAATGTTATCAGTGTACACATATGTAAACATATAAATATTTATATGAAAACTTACTGCCCAGTTAGTGAATAAAGTGGGAATAGAAATGCTGTGCTTTGGAAATTCTCCCTGTGTGACTGCACTTGCAAAATAGGAGAGCTCTTGCTTTCCTTTACTATTTCTAGGCCTGCATCTGATGGGGAAAGGTCAATGTTTTGTATAACACAAGCGCAAAGAGACTTCGGATTCCACCCCAGTTTGCAGAAAGGAAAAGACGTGATTCCCATTGGACTTAGGGTCACATTGGAAGGTTAAAATTAGAACATAATTCTCATAACTCACAATTCAGTTCTAGCTTTGTGGTAAAGCAGTAATCTGTAGTATAGAATGCTACCAGGCTAGCTTATTGAAATAAGTGATATTAAAATATTTTACTTAGGAAAAACTATGAAGATTTGCCTGACCTTGGAGAGAGACCAAAATCACAGGGTAATCTGTAGAATTCCTTACATTCTCTCTAACCACATGAGAGGGCAGACAAGTATTTGGTAGGAAATTTAACCAGAGCACATTAAAAATCTTTGGTCAAAGCTACATAATGAGCCAGGTGAAGTAGAAAGATAATAAACTAAGTGGGCCAAGTAGAGCTGTGTATGGTATAAGGAGTATCACCTTGAAGAAAAGTTGGGGAAAGACTTGAATCAAATTGGGTCACAGACAAATAATGATGCAATAATGGAAAAGAAAATGGCTCATATGTCAAATAACTAACAGGAGCCTGCAGGTTCCAGAGTGAGCTCTTGAGTCCTTCGCTCTGTTGCTTCTAAGATTTCCACGGGGCTGTGTTAAATCAAAGTTAGGGTGAATGCACTGTATCATCTCTGCCAGCTTCAGCCCTGGCCTTTGAAAGGAAACTCCAGACGCTCAGAACCCAGGCCTGGGAGGAGGCAGCATGCTCACACTCTCTCCTGCAGCTCTATAGAAACCCAGGAATCCGTGGTAGCAGGAGCCTCAGATCAGTGACTGTCCCTGCCACCACTTCAGGGGACTGGGCCACCTGGAAATGTGAACAACAATAAAGCACTTACATCCACCTCACAATTCAGCATTTTACATCCTATCATGGGGACACACATTTTTACATACAAAAAATATGTAAAGTTCCACAGGTAGGAACTTTAAAACTCATCTGAGAACCTCTAAGGTTTGTATATTATTTATGGAAGGTTAAATCATAGAGACAATTTCAGAGAATCCTAATTTCTGAACTCATGATCTAATTCTCTTTTCCACTATATTGACAAGATTCACCATAGAATCAAAGTCAAAATCACAATGACGATCACAATCAATGCAGAAATTTTTAATAGCTCCCAAATTTCAAATATGTCACATTTTTCAACCTTTATGTAGCTCTTTCTAAAGGTTTTCCAAGTGGAAATGAAAATTACGAGGCAGTCTCGTCACAATGTCTGGACTGTTCTAATTTCTACTTCTAGTGATTACAAATACAGCAAATCATTTTAGTGTTCATGGAGTGCAATACATCTAGCTATTTGTTCTGTTAACATCTGAAAAGACCAACAGGTTAGAAAGAGGCTCAAAAACAGGCTTTACAAAATCTTTTGTGTTTACAATTGTTCATCATTATCAATAGAAATGTTTTTAAAAATTTTTTTAAATGTTTTCTTGGTTGGTTTCGTTGCTATGAGAACACCAGTGTTCACTTACACAACCTAGACAGTATAGCCTACTACACACCAAGGACGTAAGTTATTACCATTGTATATACAGGCATCGATGGGAGAAACGTCACTAGGCAGCACATTCTTCTATTTGATATTTTTCCAGGATAATCACAGTGTGGCCATTTAAGCTATAACTGTTTACTGTTCCCTGAAATCACCTGTTGTGAGCAAGCAGCAAAGAGATGTCAATAGAAATAACATGAACTCTGCTGTGACAATCTACCTTTGGAATCTGGGACATATCTGTACAAGGGCATCCACGCCGAGTCTGGCTACAATAAGACATCATCTTCTGTTTGGTAGATCACCTCATTTTCAAGTGAATGAACAGATAAAACTAATTAGCCGCACTTGTGAAAAGTGTCAATAAGTTGTTCTACCATTATGGGAATTGCACTCTGTGCACTCTGTGAGTCTCTTATAAATTTATAGGATCTAGAGCACTTTAGCAGCAATTGAAGTTTAATTAACTAATCCAATGATTAAAAATAGAAGTTACTCTTAACAAATGAGCTCAGCATGAAACATGGATTGTCTATTTGTTGCAGGATTTTAATCATAAAGAATAAAATGCGAAAAAATATGAGCTAGTATTCTCACATTTAGTTACTATGAAGTTCACAGGTTCAGTGATGAGAGCTATGCAGAGACCTATTTTTAAAGAGTGTTTGATATGGTCTTCTGAGATAAGGCAGGTCACATTCGTACCTGAAAGTTATGCATGTCAAAAAGATCTTCACAGGACGATTTGTAATTTTCAGAGAAGAATTTTCTGTTAACTTTAGGAATGTGTATACATTTGCAGTGTACTTAGCAATGTCTACAAACATATATGCCAGTGGAGTGCTATAACTGTTTTGCTCTTTCTGAGAGATCCCACTGTATGTAGTCTCTGAGATTGTCCAGTCATTATTTATGCCACTCAGAAAAGAATTATTATATTTCTAAACATCAAAAAGTGTCTTTCCAACATTTATGAATATGTCTTCCATCTCATATTTGTTTGAAATGGGAGAAGTTAAATTGTTCTTACCATCCAAGCTGTGACAAAGTCTCCCATCCAGGTCCCTACTGCAGCTAATTTCATGAAACTTTCATTGCGGATGCCCATATAGTCTGTAATGATATATGCTCTGTGGAAAGAACACACAAGACATTTCCTGGACTCAGAGAACCATCTAGTGAAAGCTTCATGGTTCAGTAATACACAAAGAGACTTTGCACTACATTGGCTTATATATTTGAAAGACTGAAAAGAACTCTGAAGGTGTCTGGGTTGGTTTCAGTTAGATTGCAAGACTTATTATAGTTCTAGCAATTACTATGTGGGCTTCACATTTCAGCTGCAAGACCCTCAACAGCTTTTGAAAAGTCAAACAAATACTAAGCAAAGGCAGTATTTGATATTTACTCAAGTAGGAGCACAACATAAATAAGTGCTGAATTAACTTAAAAGGGGAGAGAAGAGCTAACAGCTCTAGTTATGCGAAGTCAAAACTAAAAAGTTGCTGTCTGGGTTCATCATGACTTAATAACATCAAGATTTGAAAAAAATTTCCACACAATGAATCAATGTAAAATTTGATTTAAAATATGTGATTTAAATTAATACTGACGTGGGCGTGGTAGTGCATGCCTGTAATCCCAGCACTCGGGAGGTTGAGGCAGGAGGATCACTGTGAGTTCAAGACCAGCCTGGGCTACATAGTGAGTTCCAGGTCAGCCTCAACTACATAGTGAGACCCTGTCTCAAAAAACCAAAATCAATTAATTAACACTGAAGTAACAGTAAGCAGAATAATACATTTTAGTACCTTGCTTTTGTCTGACTAATTTTTGTTTGTAGTAATAAAACCAATTTGTATTCTTCACAACTCAAAGAAAGGTTCACAGATACAACTGGTCATTAAACACCAATAATAAAACCATGATATTACTTACTAAAATTATTTTCTATTTTCTCATTTTCTAATTTTTACTAATTAAATATTATTTTTCCCATTTTTCAATTTATCTAAAAAAACAGACTAAATCAATAACATATAACTAATGAATGGTTGCTCAGAATCAATTTTCTCTCCCTTTCTCATTTTTCTTTTTTTTAATCTTTATTAAGTTTATTGATACATTTTAGGTATACAGTACAGTTACATTCATCATTGGGATCTTGTACCTTTACATCTTATCTTGGTTCTTACTTTCCCCCATTTCCCTGCTCCCCCTTCAGCCCCTCCTGTTTACAAAGACTTTGTTTCCATGTTTTTCCTTTACACATATTTTTTCTCTTACCTTTTTACCTTTCCCCTACCCCTTCCACTCCCTCTACTCTTATAGACCTTTTCTTCCTATTACACAATATCAATTACACAATTTGATCCTAATTTACACTTTTAGTTTTTCACACCAGAGAAACTATTCGGTATTTACAAATTTGTGTGACTTACTAATTTCACTTCAGCTTATGGCCTCAATATGCATCTACTTAGCTATAAATATCTCTAGTTTCTCATTCTTTATGGCTGAGTAGTACTCCATTTTATTTTAAAAAATCTTATTTTCTTAACTCTAAGTTTCTTTCACTCTTTTTTTTTTACTTTAAACTTTGTTCCTTTTCTTATAAATGGTGATACCTGTACATTTTAAAGTATTAATTAAACTTTATCATTTTAGGTTAATTTTATATATAGACAGTGATATGTTTATTATTTATTTATTAAAATTATGACAAGGCACATTTTTGCAGTCACTGAAAAGCAAGTAATCTCCAGTTTTATTTTTTTCTAGTATTATTTCAAATGGTTTTGTTACCCATATAATAAAACAAATACCTAAGTATCTTTATTTAGCAAAAGCAAACTCAAATTCTTAAAACAATTTTTCCAAAGCTTCATTCACCTACCCCTTGAAAGGCCTATGTAAAAGTGTCAAAATCTCACTCCAAAACTTTTGATCTCTAATTCCATGAACTTCTACCACAGCCCAGAATTTTATTGCTATTATAAATCACAGGCTTGCCATGTACACTTTAAATATAGTATTCCCATCAACTTTCATGTAAGTACCATGAAAAGTGCTGTTATGTCACAGATACAAAATTAAAGCACCGAGAGTTTGTGCAACTTGCTCAAGGCAGCCAAATAGTAGATGGACATGATTAGAATCTAAACTTCTTTGAGCTAGACTCAGCCTAGCTCACATATAGGCACGTAATCATTATGCTGTATTTTCTTAGCAGAAACGTAAAATCATACAGAATATTTCATTTGCCCCCCCCATATTGAGAACACAATGAAAATCCAGATTTATTTCCCTTGAAGGTAAATTAAAACAAAAAGTCAACAGAAGCATACAGAAGCTTCAGTTCCTCAGAGCTACATACCATGAAGTCTTGGACTCCTACCTGTTTTAGGTTCATCAGTCTAAATAGCCTCTACTGGAAACCTCCCAAATTATCTTGGATAGCTTGTTGTTACTCCACTGAGTATCATTATCACTGAAAAGCTCTTGGGAAATGAAATCAAAGTACTTTAGAATATGTTCTAATTATCTATCTCATTCAATGACACCTATTTTAATGGCTTGTGTTTAGATGTCCTCCCACAGCCTCATGTTTTTTCAGACATGGCTGAATCTTGAGTGTGTGACTGATCATGGTAGGACTAGGCCCAAGGGTACCATGATTAAGGGCATGAGTGCTACCCACCCTAGATACTCTGAGTAAGATAAAAGTGGCAGAAAGATGCTATGAAAGTCCCTTGCTGCTTTGCTACTGTTGGTCTGGTCCTTCAGCAACTGCTACCCCTCTGCCATGTGCCACCCTTACCTTGGAGCCAGTCAATTATGGACTGAAACTTCAACAAACTCTGAACCTTTCACCCTTTAATTTGGGGTGTTGGGTATTTTGTCTCAGCAATGAGAAAAGTAACTAAAATATCCATTTTGAAGAATCTGCTTAATTTTCCTCCCTATCCACTTTACCAATGAACTCTAGAATACATTAAGGTAGAATAAAAATTTCAGGGTACATTGGTGGGTTATATAGGTATGAATAAGAGATGACCTCATTCCTTCATTTCAGTAACTAATGGAAAAATGGATACACTCTCAGCAGATCAATGATGCAGCTTAGAAGAACTAAAAAAATCTAAATAATATACAAAATTTACTCCCACATAAATCTTAAAGGCATTGGAGAGTTGATGAACCAAAAAGGACTAGGAAAAAAAAAGCTAATAGGTTGGAGAGGATTGAGGAAAGTTTAGCTGCATTTTCACTGCAGACAGTTGCTGATAGTTCACAACCTGCCACAATGCATGATCCAAGAGAATAGAGGGTGGCAGATACTAGGATGAGACCGGGATGAATGTGTACTTGAAGAAAGTGTAAATAATCCATGCTATGACTGGAGTACGGGGTCAGTTTCTACTCTTGCTGTTCCCTAACAGAGTAAAGAGTGAGCCTTTTCTGGAAAAATAAAATAACATCTAGATCCTGGGTCCATTTTTATACATAACATCTGTTAGATATTCAAAAGTTATTAGGATATCAAGAGGACTATATCACTGAAAATCAAGAGAAAAAAATTTAAAACTGGATAAGCTCCCAAAGAACAGGAAGATATTTTGGCTATTGTATCCACTATTGATTCCCTAGAACCTACAGTTCATCCTGAATATAGTAAACAATCAATAAATATTTGCTAAAATTATAAATTAATGAAGTAATAAAACTATTCATATTTATTCCATAAGGCATAGAATAAATTCTAGGAACATCAATAATATGAAATTGAATCATGATTTTTTCCACAGAGGAAGACATTAAAACAAATTGTTTGCTGTGTTTACTTTCTTTGCCTGACCATATTTTTAGCTCCTTGACTGCAGGTATCTCTCCTGTATGATGTATCAACACAAAATGAAGAAATAATCCTCCCTTGTAGTTGTTGGCAAAAGTACTAGTTATTATAACAATGTGCATGAGATAGCATGGATAATTTATGAGGTAACTAATGTATCTTAAATTGAACAGTAATATATAAAGATTAGTTGTTATTCTTATTGCTGCATTTGACAAATGAAAGCAAGAGCTTCAAAAGTGCAGACTTGTCATAAGTATTTTCAACAACTAGTTCACTGATTTACATATCCATTAATGTTTAATATTTCCAGGTTGGGTTGTAAAAGACAAGGTAATTCTCTTTTATTTTATTAGCAATTTCAGCTACCTTCAATATCGTACTGGACTATAAAATAGTGAAACAGTGGAACTTTGTAATCAAAATGATTTTGAGGAGTGATATTTAGAATTAATTTTATTTACTAGGAGGCACCATAAAATTTTTAGCTTTGTTTGATGCTCTAGTTGATTACTTCATCTACTCATACACCTTTTGTTTTCATTTGTACTTTAGCTGTTATGTCCACTACATACAGATTTGGAAAACTTTGCAGATCTACCAGTCTTGCAGGTAAATATCAACCACTGTTACAGTCTTTAAAGATCCTAAATGAATTTCTTCTTCTGCTTTAACTTCTTAGGCTCTTTATTTTTTCTGAGGGATTCAAACTTAATTGTCAACTCCATAACAAATGTAGAAAATTCAATATACAGTGTTTGAGAAAGGATAATTATCATAATAGCTCTTCAAAAGAGCAGCTAAAACTACTGCACCTAGTGAGATCCACATACTAAATGAATTAAATCAACTCTAACATGAATTAGTGAATAAAACTATAATATAATGAAATTGTCTTGCAGTGGAGGGTCTTGATCACTAAAAACAAAATTTTCAGTTCGCTTTGGTCTATAACTTATACTTAAGTGGATACAGTCAATGCCAGGTGATCTGGGGGTTGATTCTCTGCACATTTAACAGAAGGCAGTAAACACAGATCACCAAACAAAACGGATTCATACTTGACAAAGATCCATCTGTGGCCAGCTGGATTCATAATGTCACAGCTGTCTCTCCCAGCCATGTTTGGGCAACATAAACAAGATTGGGGGCTTCATACACAAGTAAATCATAAGTAACTTACATGAGTAGAGAGCTGCATTAAACACAATGAAATGAACACAAACACTCTAACCAGTCTTAACACATTGAGGTGAAAGTCACTATAAAATGTCA